GAGGGAAGGCTCCGGGGCTCCAGCCGCAGCCGGTCCAGGGGTTCCCAAAGGTGTGGACAGAGTCAGCGAAGAAGGAAGGACACAGAAGCAACATTCAGTTGATCAGCATGGTTGGGTTCTCTCTTTATTGTCCTATTACATCTATATTTATACTACAGCGGGGCCTTGACTTACGAGTTTAATTTGTTCCGAGACCGAGCTCGTTAAGGAGCTCATTAACTCAAATTGCTCTATCAACTCAATGCAAAAAAATCAGCCGAGAGACAGCTGGTATCTCAAAAAACTCATTCGTCGGGACACTCGTAAGTCAAGACCCCACTGTATTTGATCCCATAAGCGTGCCTCTATAATTACATCATGGTATGTTTTGGGTCACATTCTACAATTCCTGTGTCTTATCTGATCTTAGCCAAAAATCCTGTCTGTATCTAATTCTGTTTATTTTAATCTTGTCTAGGTTAATCTCTGTGTTCCATTACAAGGGCTATTCCCAGGTCACTGCTCCACTGATAGGCTACAAGGAAGTGACTGAAGGAGATTCTCCTACCCAGTAAAGGTTATGTCCTCCCAGCCTCGCTGCTTGCCTTCCCTGGGACTGCCCTGTGTCGGTGGGTCTCCAGGGGTATAGGCTTTGGTGCTTTCCCTGGTGGGCAGACCCCTGGGGATGTGGGCCCAACAAGTCCCAAATTTATTGCCAACAGTCTTAGTCCAAGTTCTTCATAAGTAGTACATGGTATTTCTGTAACACTAGGGGGATTTACTGATTTATTCTCTTCCTTAGTCCTGTTAACCCCTAACCTGGGAAAACAACCTTTCTCAAGGAGGTGGTCCTAGTTAAAACACATAGCGCTAAGAGGGGGAGCAAACATATGTCATATACGCCAGGTCCCTTGAAACATAAGCTGTGCAGATGTTTCTTCCCTGCAGTGACTGCGTCAAGCAGCAAGGGTGGACCGGCTTCCAGCATATGAATATGAATATTATTCTTCTCCCTACTTACATTGAAGGTGTACTATTGCAGCTTGCTTTATTCTTTTTTAAATTGAATGTCACTTGGAAATGTTTTCCTTACAGTGCATAGAGGAAGTTCTTCATCCATCTCTATAAAGCACGGTACTCCATAAATGGTACTATAATGTGACCCTGCCTCCTGCTGATGGGCTGCTACATAATCAATAGCTGTCAGTGACTAACTTCACACATTATTTCTTCCATGTGACCACTGATTGCATTTTATTTATTTCATTTTAGTTCTAACATCTCTAAGGCTAGCGACAAGTTGGCGTGGTGGCAATCTCTTGACACCCATCTTGCCTTGGTGGCCCAGGAAATGGAGGCTTTAGCTTGACTTTGTGAATGTGAGTCATTGCTGTACCTGGCTAAGTCTCAACTCCTCCAAAAGCATCCTCAGCTTTTCTGTAGGACCTCTGACCATCCCAATGTACTTCCATTGCTCCACCATTCTATCCGCCCCCTGGGCAGCCATTAGCCTCAAGGTGATGTGAGTGGTGCCCCCAGAGATAACGTTATGCCACCAGGAAGTGTAAGCTGCCACCAAATAGATAAATAAATAATAAATAAATCAAAGCTTCTGGGAGAAACAATGTCTCTTATCAGGCCATTTAAAACAGCACCTTCTACTCTCTATCCCATTCTTTTCCTTCACAGCGTTCGTCTCTACCTGAATGTATGTATTTACGGGACGGGTCCCCGGCCCCCGCTACACACACTGGAACGTAAGCTCCATGCGGGCAGGGGCTTGGTTTTGTTCACCACGGCACGCCCGCCATGGCCAGCAGTGGGTTCTCAATGAACACCTGCCGAATGAGTAACTAAATCACCTTCGTCTCAAACGCACAGCTACGACCGAGCACGCACCGGCACACTCAACAGGGAGACCCTGACTCTGACCCCCTGGCCCCGGAAACGCGGGCGTGCACCCGGAACCCGCCCCTCAAGGCCGCCCTCTCCGAGCGCGCACCGCCGCGCTTCCGCCCTCGCTCGCCTCTT